TTTCCTCCAGTGATATACTCCTCCACACAGGATTTTCTCCAAACTTACATCAAACAAGGAAAAACAAATGCTGTGAGGGAAGATTTAGGGTAATTTATCAAGATCTGGGAAATAGCTTCCAGATGGACAGAGCTGTTTGGTGCTGGCTGGTGAGAAGGAAGCAAGGTATTGTTATTGAATTAGCATGAATCTCTGGCAGAGAACAGCTTGGTAGAAATAGAGTGCTCCCTTCATATGGTTTACATTTGGACCTGTCAAATTTTACTTTTACTCAAAAACCCACGGTGAAGATCCAGGGTTCTTTTTTACTTATTAAATTTTCCCCAGTTCCCCCTGTACTAGTTACAAGTCAGTATTTTTAAGCTGTCTGCTTTGCTTTAAATGCCACACCTGGGTATGTTCACTCTTTGCCTTGCCTGGATGAGAGTACTTGCAAGCTCAAAAGCGGTTCTGTATCAGACCAAGTTCACACAGTGAATGTCACCTGAGAATGTGAGTCAGAGAGAGAGAGAGAGAGAAGAAAAGCTAAACTTTCTATAAGATTTTTAAAATAAGTCACCTCAAGAGCTTATCAAAATGGTTCTAAGTAAAGTTGATCCACTCTGAGGTCTAGTGTACACTAGAGAAGGTTTGCTGGTATAGCTCTACATGGATAGTTATACTAGCAAACCCTCCTAGTGTAGCTGCAGCTTTTACCACCAAAAAAACCCCCTGCATCTACACAAGGGTTTTTGCCAACATAAGACATGTAAAAAAACTCACCCCGCCCCAACCAACATTATATTACCAATGAAAGTTTGTAGTATACACCTGGCCTGCCTCACACATAGCTACTCCACAACATGTATCTTCTAGCATAACGCATACAAAATATGAATGCATAAATCTATACATTCTCCAGTGACCATGGATCAAAGTTATTTACTTTCATTGACATTATCTCAGCAGTCTCCTAGTCCTGCTTTCAATAATTCAGGGTTTGTTTGTTTTGTACATACCAAATTCAAAATGATCACCCTGACTCTAAATGTTTTACTGACACATGGAGACAAGATAGCCACAGATTTCCCTAAATTATATTAGTCAAACTTTTGTCATAAACTGCAGCTTCTGACTGATTTCAACACCCAAAGAAAGTCTCCAAAGTTATTTGTGTAAGTAAGGAGCAATGGTTCTCTCAAAGATAAACTGGGTGATAGTAAATAAAACGTAAAAATAGTAAATATAAGTTATAGCTCTTTTTTGCAATAAGATTTTCCTGGTTCAGCATCTGATCTTGACTTTTCTATCCTTAGGTCTTCACTTACAGTGGTTTGCAGAGTACAGAGACCGTACACCCTGCCAGCATGGCATGGGTGGTGGGTATAATAGACCAGGGAAGACTTAGCCTTCCTTGGCACTGCCGCTGACCTGCTGCCAGACACCTGGGCCGCAATGGCCCCCACCTTGCCTGAGGCCCCCACCCCCTGCTGCTGCTGCCTGCCTGGTCTCCTCCACTCCACCCTCTCCCTCCGGAGGTCCCCGCTGCTCGCCATGTCCCTCCTCCTCGGAGTTGGGGGAGTGAGGAGGGACGCAGAGAGCCAGCGGCCGGCAGAGTGAGGAGGCTGGGTGTTGAGGCCAGCAGCTCGGGGTGGGGGGGCTTCAGGGGCGGGAGGGACTGGCACTGGGGCTGGCCTGGTGCCGGGGGGGCTGGCAGCAGTGGGGGCCAGTGTCTCAGCTGAGGGAGGGTTTTCAGGGTGGGCCCAGGCCGGCACTGGCAGTGGGAGCTGTGGCTCGGCTGGGGGAGAGCCATCAGGGCTGGGGGGCCCGATGGCTTGGCCTGGTGCTGGGGCTGGCCCGGTGCTGGCTGGGGGGAGGGCAGCGACTCGGCTGGGGGGGCTGTCAGGGGCAGGGGGCCGGCAGCTCAGCCTGGTGCTGGTGGCTTGGCCTGGTGCTGGGAGGGGCCCGGGGGGCCAGCAACTCAGCCCAGTGTGGCTGGGGCTAGTGGGCCGGGGCTCCTCCGGTCGCGGGGGGGTCCTCGGGGTGTCTTCTTTTATGGGGGTGGTTTTTGGGGCTCCAGTGTGCGGGGGGACAGGGCCATGGGTGGAAGAGGTGGGGCCATGGGGCTAGCATCCCCAAAGTGGGGGTTCACCAGCCGCCCATGCAGTGCGGGTATAAATAGCAGTGTAGATGGGGAGCCACTGCTAAGGGAAGTAAAGTAGATTGCCCTACATGTGTGTAACATAGGGTATGTACCCTATGCTGCTCTCTACATGCCCAAGCAATGCCTCCCACATCTATACCGCTATTTTTAGCAGTGTACTGTCCTCTGTATCCCTGCTGCAGTGAAAGGCTCTGGCTGGGGGGAGGCAATGGGAAAAGGCTTCGCCAGCTCCCCACTACTGGCATATTTCCACTCTGCCTCCCCTCAGCTGGAGCCTTTCACTGCCATGTGTAGCTTCACACACCAAAGAACATGGACGTAGACTGCCTTTCACTGCAGAATGTAGCTAACCGTACCTTACACACTGCTGCAAGTATAAATAAGGTCTTAGAGAGGCTCCAGTGAGATACCACTAGGAAAGATTGGTGTGAAGAGGCCTGTACTTTACGTTGTCCAAGGCAGCAAAAGTTCAACTCAGCTTGTTACATAAAATTGTTTGTGAAACTCAGCAAAAGCTGGTGACAAATAGACTGGTACAAACTGGATTAGTTATGTGAAAAGAACTGTGATAAGGGATCTGCAAGGCTCCTGGTAGAGCTACGGCTTGATATGACGACAAGCTGAAAGACTCTAGAAATGGGAGGAATCGTTTATAGCTGAAATCACCAAAATGTGTTTTGATTGGTTAATGTTAATAGGCTGAGGCTGAGGTCCCTTCTTGGACATTGTGTACCTGGGAGTCATTCAGCAAGAGCAGGAGAACAGTTGGACCAGAAAGAGAGAGAGTTTACCATCATGGCTCCCACCTCCACCACCTCCTGGGACCCCCCCGGATCCATTATGACACCATCCTGATCTTGAAATGCATCCTGAACAGACTGGGCCAGAGAGAGGAAAACAATGACACCACCACCACCAGCAGCTTGCAGTAGGGCCTAAACAGCATCTAGAATATGAGCCTTGGGTTTCTGCTGTCACCCCCTCCATCATGTGTCCCATTCCTAGCTCTCTCTTTTTGCCTTCTGTGTAATGAGACAGCCAAAACTGCATCTTTGTACACTGCTGTGTGCTAGTGAGGTAGCTAAAAGCAATGCCCTACATTGTCCAATGTTGGAACAAGGGTGCCAGGCCTCACAGTGGCAGATAAGACTGTGTGTTGGGCCCACGTTTCTCCAGGAGCAAGGTGGCAAGTAAGAGTCACCACCAGAGACAGCAGCAGTATTTTCTATCTTTGCTGTTCTTTTCTGGTCTCTTGTTTGTGAGTGTATTTGTTTTATTTTATCTTCCAGGGAACAGGAGCAGACTTCAACAACAGCAGCAGCTCCAGACTATCTCAATTAATACCATCTCTAATACCATCTAAAAGACTGTCAAACAAGGGGTTTCCCTTATCAAAACTCTCTAAAGTGAAAGGGAAAGGAAACAAGGGAGATTGTTAAAAGGAAAGCTTTACTTAATACTTCACGTTTCAAATGCTTTAATTGTTTTCTGTTCTTTTTCTGTATCTTTAATAAAAAGGTTAAAAGATTTGTAACGGTGGTTGTTACAGTGGGAGTCACCAGGGATAACACAAAATCCCAGATCACACTGAACTGTTCAATGTTGTAAGCATGAACAATGATTTCATTAATATTTTATCACTTGTGGGCCAGACACAACAGGAGAAAGCCCATGATTGATGCAACCCGCTTCTTAATCTAAAGGGGATGCCCCATTCTTTATACTTGACAGCCCAGTCCCTGACATGTATGAACATACGATTATTTGCATTATTTAATTTTATATTTTAAACACCATAACTACTTTACATGTCATGCTACTCTTGATAGTTCTATTAAGCTCCCAGTTATCTCAGTGGGAGCTGGGAACCTAGATGAAAGGCAGCATGTAGCCCTATCATTAACAGTGGAAGTTCTGCACCAGCACTGAGGAAATGGTATTGCTAAATGACTAGATTTTCCGGTACGCAGTACTGGAATTGATAGTAAAGTGTTCTCTCTCTCTCTCTCTCTCTCTGATACTGCTACGTATTCTATTACTAAGGATAAGTGTACTTCACATCAATAGTATTTCACATTTTCAAATTACTATACAAACACTCACAACTGAGTTGAATTAGTGCTATTGGACCCAATCACCAGCTCTGTATAAAATGAGTATCAATTAGTGGTTACCATATAGGAACATCTCCTATATACACCTCTACCCCGATAGAACGCGACCCGATATAACACGAATTCAGATATAACGCGGTAAAGCAGTGCACTCCGGTGGATCAAAGCAAGTTCGATATAACACGGTTTCACCTATAACGCGGTAAGATTTTTTGGCTCCCGAGGATAGCATTATATCGAGGTAGAGGTGTATAAGCACACTTATACCAATGGTGGTACCTTACATCCACTTTTCCCAGATGTACATGACTACACAAGGTGCAAGACTGAAGAATTAGGCTCATTATCCCAATTTGAAAGAGGAAGACAGTTTACAAGACTTGGCCAAGGCCACACAGAGTTAGTAACAGAGTCAGGATCTAATTTAGACCTAACTTAGAGCCTCAGTCTTCTTCCCCCAGGCCTGGCTGCTTCTAGCATGGCTGTTTTGGTGCTGATGTTAAAAATGAAATCAACTTTTACATTCTCACCAGTATATAAAAAGTTTAAAGAACAAATACGCACATTACATGGAAAAAACATCTGTAGCTGTGTGCAGTTAAAAGGCACACAACCTACTTGAGCAAGGGATGTTTGAGCTTACTTGCCTGTACAACTGACCCCCTATTTATACAACATTAAGGAAGCCAGCAGAAAGCTAAGAATACTGTGTGACTTTTAAGGTAGTTCAAGTATAGTCATACCTTGAAACCGAATGGACAAGTGCATCGATAGAACTCCACTGGATCATTGTTGCATGTCCCATTGTTCTTACATGGACTGGAAAGGCAAGGATTACACTTGGACACAATGCTGATATCTACCGGTCCTGCAAAAATAAAAGTGTAGAATACAAGTGGAAAATGTGGATTGCAAAATTCATTCTTAGTTAATGCACAAGATATTTACCAGTACTGACACTGTGTGTTTTCTGCCCCCTGCAGTAACAATAGTATGGGCCACTGATAGCACTTCATGTGATAATGTTTAATCACAAGGGATTAATTCAAATTTTAAATCCTTCAAGTGTTGGACAAATCTTAATGATATCTGGATTCTTGTCTAAAGAGAGAAACACCCAGCCTGCAAAAACGGACTGCACGTGTCATAAGATTGGTTTACTATCAAGATTTTTGGAAATTTCCACTTCAATAAATGCTGGAAATTCTGCAAGAGCAGGCTCTGACTGCTAATATTTGGCATTTCTAGTTTGTGGATGAGACCAAAAGAGAAAGTGCAGATTCAGCAGCAAAAATTAAAAATGGGTACAAGACAGTTGCACAAAGATTTGTGAAGCTCAAGAAAGGTTCAATTAGAGGTTTAGGAGATGGTTCAATGTTTCACAATCCCTAGTTTTAATATGGTTTATTTTTGACTTAATTCCTTCCTGTTCTTATTGTAGAAAAAGCAATATGCAAAACATAGATATATCTGGGAAATGATGCAACTGTTATTGCCCTGGATAAGCACACCAATCCATATTTAAGCCATTTAATAAATTACATAATTGGAAACAACCATTTCCAAACAGGTAGGGGAAGGTGTGACCAAAAATACTCCTGCACTCACACCTTACATACTATTATAATAATCTTTGTACAAAATATGCCTTGTGAGGCATCATTTGAAAATTAGTAATTCACTGGTCAATAATATCATGGTGAAATGTATGTAGCAACATTACATGTTAAGTTATGAAGTCCCCCTGCATGAGGTTCATAGCACATGTTTAAAACCACAGCTCTACCCAGGCAGAAGTATTCTGAACGAAGATTTACCTCAATTTACATATAAGTAGTGAACAGGGTCCTTGAGACAGCCGGGAGAGAAAATGGCAGTAGACAAAGCAAATTTGCATTTCAGCAAAGATGAGGAGAAAGAACATGAAGCCTCCTTCACCACCAGACTCTATGTCGCCTTCTTTACTGTTTGAATAAACTTTGCTTTGAGGGGTAACTCTCAGAAGAATCCACTTCAAAGACTATCCAATTGGACTATAAAAGAAAGGGGGCAGAAAACCCCAAGCTATCTCTCACTCTCTCTTTCACCCAAGAATACAAAGGAACCAGACCTTTGACTTTGGGGGTAGATCCTGATCTTAGAATTTGGTCAGCCATGTTGCTGGGAACCTGTGGTAAGAATTTTACCTTGAACTAAGACAAGCTTGTTATGTTCTAGCTACTAGAAAGTATTTTATCTTTATTTTCATTACCATTTCTGACTTTAATACCTGATACTTGAATTCACTTAAAATCCTATCTTTTGTTAATAAACTTGTTTTATTCTTTAATCTAAACCAATCCTGTGCTGTGTTTAAACAGAACTCTTTGAAAACTCCAGTTAAAGTAGCTGACTGTTGAACATTAACCCTTTACAGGGATAATGAGTCTTTAATATCTAAAGTGCCCAGGAGAGGGCTGTACAGTGCAGAACACACATTTCAGGGAGTATTCAGTATTGGGAGTGTGTTGAGGCCACCCTGCAGGTAGTAACCAAGGCTGGTGGGAAGCCAGAGTGTGACTAGAGTGTTGCTGACAGGCTGCTGGGGCCAAAGCTACTGGGCCAGGGCTGCAGCTACACACAGACACTCAGGCTATGACCTGTATGCCCACAGGCTCTTTGTGAGTGGCCCTTGTTGGGGGCTACAACACTAGGGTTACCATATCTAACAAATAAAAAAAGAGGACCCTCCACGGGGCCC